TGGGGTGGCGTTCTTCCCTTGGGAAGACTATTTCTTCACTGTCAGTATTCCTTAGTTGCCTGTGGTTCTTTGTGGAGGGTTGAGGCCTCTTGTTCTCTTGGCCCCCTGTCCCCCTTCTCTCTCCATCCCCTTTGCATATGTATAGTAAAAAAGAGATCATTGATGGGTAGAGGGGCACAATAGAGAGGGAATGGCAGGATACACATGATCTGATTGGGGGAGGGGCTCTAACTAGGAAGCAGGGAGGGAGATAAATATAGAAGGAGACAGGAGGGTAAAATAACAGTAAGGATGTCTGAAAAAGTCATAAGGAATCATACCATTATCTGTCTACTTTAAAAATGATCATACACGTACGTCTTTATATAAATAATACATATATAGTTTACATGAATTTTTTTTTTTTTAATCTAGGCTGACAGTTCTCCCTCCAAGAGCCAAAGACTACTTAACAAAAACCCAACTACCAGGCATGAGAAGCACTCTTTCAGTTGTTGGTCAGGGCTGTTCAAGAGATCCCCCCAAACACTGCTCACTGTTGCTATTAACCTTGGTTGCCCTCCAGAGATGGAAGGTACTGTTGAAGACATGCACTTTAGATTATAGGCTCCTGAGCGAGAACTCACCTGAATTCCTGCTCCCTGAGGACTAGCTTTCATGGCACCAGAAAGTACCAAAGGAGGGAAGCAACCAGCACCTATAACCACAACAGCAACCAGCATGGCATGATAATCCTAAGGGTGAGGTAGTGGCACACATACCTTGTGACAACCAACAGCTCTTTCATTGAACTTAAGACCCACTCAACAAGAGGAAATCATGCCTGGTATTGAAGTTTTTCCTAATAAATTGTTAAATTATAAAAATAACTGAGTTAAGCAAACTATATAATGTGTACAGGGATGATTTCTGCCAGGGAACAAAGAAAACTGGTAACAGTAATTTCTCTAGCTAGGGCACTGTGGTAGAAAATAGTGATATTTGACAAGGAGTTCTTGAGATCTGCGAATAAAGTGGAAAGAATAGTTGTCTTCTCCAGGCAAGCCATAGTTTTGTAGATTAGAATAAGGAAGAGAGTAATAACAATATCTGGTTATTTAAAATATAGGAGGGTTGGAGAGATGACTCATTTGGCAAAAGCACGAGGACTGAGTTCAGGTCCCCAGGAGTCATGTGAAGAGCCATGTGTAATGATGCATGCACATAGTCCCAGCACTGGGGGGACAGATAGGAGCCCCTGAGCTCACTGTTAGCTACTTGTGCTGGATCTGTGAGCTCCTGGCTGAGTGAGAGGCCCTGTATTAAAAAATAGGTACAAGCTGGGCCATGGTGGCGCAGGCCTTTAATCCCAGCACTTGGGAAGCAGAAGCAGGTGGATCTTTGTGAGTTTGAGGTCAATCTGGTCTACAAAGCAAGTTCAAGGACAGCCAGGGGGCTGTTACACAGAGAAACCCTGTCTGCCCCCCAAAAAAAGTACAAAAAAAAGGGGAAGGCACCCAACATAGACCTCTAGCCTGTGCATACAACACTTGCAGACACCCAAATGTAGGAGCTGTATAAGTTCAGGTAGAATTGTTAAGGTGTTTTTTGTAATATTTTTGTTCTTGCCAGTTTCTGTCCAAATTGCCAGATCTAGGTTTGCATAGGGAGGAATATTCTGGCTTTATTTGTGTAAGTCCTACACCTGTGAGTTGCATTTGACATGCCTCTGTCTTGGATTTAGTGGCTGACCTTGAATATGCTCTTAACTCAATTTATCTGTCAGTGGCTGGGGTGATGATCTCTGTTCTTCCCATGTACATTGAGTTGTACAAAATACAGTGAAATTATGTGAAAATTTATTGAACATTGGGTTCAGCCTCTTTAGAAGTGGATTTAAGTGGAGCTCCTGAGACAGAAGAGAAGGTAAAGTGCTTTAGCAGGTGAATGTTCATACTAGGTTGTATTACAAGCAAACTGATTACCTCTCAAGAGAAAGAAAGGGAGGGTTCTTGAAGTGGCTCAGACAATGAAATCACTTGCTACTGCCTGCTGAGCTGAGGTTGAACCCTGCGACTGACTTGGAAGGAGCGAACCAACTCCTGCATTGTCCTCTGACTAGACACCCGGCCTTAAAGTCAAATGTTTATATTTTGCTTTGGAAATGGAATGTTTTCTTTACTGCTTATGTATGTGTTTATGTGTTTCACAATGTAAATTCTTGATCCCCTAGTTTCAGTTTCAAATCTACTTTTACAGTTTGAAAAGCCAGTTACTTCTGTATAACTTTTCTGAAACAGGAAGAAACATTCTGAAATAAAACCAAATGTGCTTTAAGATCAGCACTTATGAATTTCCTTGTTTAACATTCTTGAAGGTAAAGATACTATCTGTTTAACACCCAAGATATATTAGCTTTCAGTACTTAAATTTTTATGATACAAGTAATATCTGACCTTACTCTGCAGATGTATAAACACACTTATTTTAAAAGATCAACACTGTTTAGTATACAACAAAGCCGTAAGTAATTCCAGTGGAGTACACTCAACTGAGGAAAATGTCAAAGTCCTTGATGTCATTGTCTGTAAACAGGAATCTGTTCCCACTTAAAGCAGAATGTTCTCACAAAGTAATTATCATATTAAGGAGGAAAATTAACTTTACAGTGGAGAAACTTGATACATATCATTTAACTAAGCAGCCAAAGTTCGTATCCCCAGCACTGGACACATGAGTACCTAGGGGCCCCTTGACATGATATATTTTAAGGTATACAACAATACTTCTTTGAATTCTTGTCAAAAGTGCAAACTGGATCTAGTCACAAGGAAATGACCAAACACAAATTTTGGGCTATTCTATATAACAAATGACCCATTCTCTTTCAAAAGTGCTACATTTAGACAGGTGTGGTTATATGTACTGAAACTCAGGAGGCTAAGGCAGGAGGATGACTTTGAGTTTGAGGCAAATCTGGGCTACATAGTAAGATTCCATTTCAACAAAACAAAAGAATGAAATAATAATTACTAAATGAAGCTTGTGATCCTACAATGAACTCTGAACTCTTGTGTTTTACCCTTCCCCACTATAATTGACCATTAGTGAGATGATTAGGGAAATTTCAGTCAGATTTGTAGATTAGTTAATAGTACAATATCAATGTTCTTTTCCTGCTTTTGATATTTTGTCTATTTTTATAGAAGGTAATGCATTTAGGAAATAAGACTTCAGTATTTTGCATTAAAAAGGCAGTCTGAGGGCTGGAGAGATGGCTCAGCAGTTAGGAGCACTAGCTGTTCTTCCAGAGGACCTGGGTTCAATCCCCAGCACCCACAAAAGATAACAATAATAGAAACACTCAAGTGTCAGGATTAAAGGAATATGAGTGAAGGTTATACGAAAATCCTTTGAAGTAGTTTCTCAATTTTTCTAAGTTAGAAATTATTTCAAAATAAGAAATTTAAAGGAAACTGGGCATAGTGACTTATACTTGTTATCCCTGTACTTGGGAACCTGAGGCAGAAGAGTGCCATGAGTTCAAGGTGACACTGGGCTGCACAGTGAGTTCCAGACTACCGTGGGCTATGTAACATAATAAAACAGCAAAACAGAAAGGAGTAGCTTAACTGATTTTCAGTACAGCATTAAAAACCTCTCGGTGCAGTTTTCTCAATGGTAAAATAAAGTAGCTAAATGAAGTTAAATCATTCAGTTCTGAAATTCCATAATCTTTGGTTTTGGTGTTATTTTGAGACAGGGTCTTACTCTGTAGCATTGGCTGGTCTAGAACTCAGTATGTAGATCAGGTTGGCCTCAAACACATGGAGATCCAACAACCTCTGCCTCCCGAGTGCTGGGATTGAAGGTATGCGCCACCACACCTGTCCTAAAATTCTGTAGTTTTATAAACAGACATTAGTAGGAAAAATTCATAACTTTAATACAGTCATCCTTAAAGAGGACAATAATAGAAAATGTGAGTTAATTGTTTTCATGTGAGTCAAAGGATGTGCAAATCAAGGCTTCCTGCCAAGTAACAGTATAATAGTTACTGAGCTGAGATGGTCTTCTGTGAAAGAAACTTTAGTAAGAGTTTATTTAATTACACATTTCATTGCCTTCCACTTCCTGGTTCATGCTTAGGCATAATTTTAAAGCCTATTTTATTGTTTTTTAATCTAATGCTGTATTCAAATGTACTTTTATAATTACTGATGAAAACCTGGCCATTAAGATGAAGAAGCAGCCAGGCGGTGGTGGCACATGCCTTTAATCCCAGCACTCCGGAGGCAGAGGCAGGCGGATCTTTGTGAGTTCGAGGCCAGCCTGGGCTACAGAGTGAGTTCCAGGACAGGCTCCAAAGCTACACAGAAAAACAAAAACAACAACAACAAAAAAAAAATGAAGAAGCAGGTATAGTGGGGCACACTTGCAGTTGTAGCATTTCGATGGAGGCAGGAGCAGCAAGAATTACGATTGTCCTCTGCTAACTAGCCAGCAGGTCAGCCTGGGATACTCAAGACCCCGTCTCTTAAGAAACTGAGATAAGATTAATTATTAAAGGTTAGGTGTTATAGGTTCATAATCCTTAAAAACTAAAAAGATTGTTAAAGTGCAAGTATTAGAGCCAGGTATGGTGGCATATACTTGTAATCTTAGAGTTTAGAAGAGTAAGTTCAAGATCAGTTGCAGAGGGAGAGTCTGTCTCCAACAGCTAAGACAAACACACATATACACATGTGCACACACTCGAGCTACCATTCCCCCACACAAACCTGTAAGATGATACAGGGACTAAATTGCTATAAACTGTAAACTAGGGTGGTGTGTGGATCAGTGTTTGAGTTTTTGCCTAGCCTGCATTAGGCCCTGGGTATAGTATCCACCTAAGAAAATGAGAACAAATAAGTTACAAATGCGTGTCCAGTGTTTTTGAAAAAGTGAGTAGGATGTTTTTGAATTGTATCCAACAAAAGCAGAACTGTTCTCTTTACCTCTGCTCCCATCACTTGCAGCTTGGCGATCCTGCTATATTTCCTGCTGTCATTGTGGAACATGTTCCTGGTGCTGATATTCTCAATAGTTATGCTGGTCTAGCCTGTGTGGAAGAGCCGAATGACATGATTACTGAAAGTTCATTGGATGTTGCTGAAGAGGAAATCATAGACGACGATGACGATGACATCACCCTTACAGGTGTGTGTGTTACTGTTCCAGGTGGTCAGAGTCTGGATCAGGTGTTTTCAGGTTCTTAGTCTTTTATCCAAAAATTTGAAAATAAGGGCTCACACAGATTTGCAAAAGTAGTAGGTAACTTTGTCTATAGCAGAGCAATAATAGAAATTATTGAGGGATATCCTATCAAGAATGATAGTGAGATTATTCAAGGGCCCCAGGATAAAATTTAGAGTCTTTTTTTTTTTTTAATGGGTTTTAAAGGAACGAGGGGCTGGCTACTAAGTGTAGTTTGGATTTTTTTTTTTATTTTTAATTGATAGATTAGGTTGTTTTTCTATTATGCATTCTTCATCCCATGATGCATCTGGTTTTAATTATATGCATGTCAATTATGCATAGTCAGAAGATAATAAATAGAGTGAGTCCTCTAAAGGTTACTGGCAGGCACAGTTTTGCCTTACTGTACATGCACCCAAAACCAGTTCAGGATGAATAGGCCTTCTGTTTGTTTTATCTGTATATGTTGGAAACACACTTGACTAGAAATAGTCTTTACTTGATAGTTACGGAGTAGAGAAACTTATGTTATTGTTAAAAGATGTGTAGCCTGATGTAGAGTCGGGGCCAAGGGGTTCTGGGGTTGCTAGGTGTATTGTTTGAAGAAGGGTGTGTGTGCATAGAATGTGCAGGTAAGGAAATTAGGCTGCTAAGTACATTACTACCATGGAGAGATGTGCTTGACCCCAAACCAAATGGAGGTCCCCAGGGTCACTTTACTACCTGCAGAAGCTAAAGCCTGGATGAAGAAAGTGACACACTCTGCCACCTCACCTGGTTGATACGGCTTTCTTGACCCCCCATTTCCCCCCAAATACATTGAAATAGACATGAGAAGACTTGGTTCAGAATCAGGTCTTCCCTGACTGCTTGTATATACCGACTGCTACGTTCCTGAGAACCAAGTGAAAGCTATTTGTCGGGAAGAAGATAGGAATGCTGTTTTCTTACTAGTGTCACAGGAAACCAGACAGTAAGCCAGGACCTAATGTGTGCTGAAGCCCTGGGATTTACAGAGGATTTCCGTTAGGATCAGAACTAGGATAACATTGAAAACTGGAAGAACGGATTATGGAAGAGGGAGGTGTACTAATGCCTTCATCAGTTTTAGAAAATGGTATGTGCTTTACCTTTGTACCATTTTGTTTTGTTTTTGTTTTTCCAAGATACGGTTTCTCTGTGTAGCCCTAGTTGTCCTGAAACTTGCTGTGTAGACCAGGCTGACCTTGAACTCAGAAATCTGCCTGCCTCTGCCTCCTAAGTGCTGGGGTTAAAGGTGTATATCATCACTTCCCTGCATTTTACCAATATTTTTGGGAAGGAGGCTTTGTATGATTTTTAGATTTATTTTTATTTTATTTGTATGACTGTTTTGCCTCTATGTATATATGTACACTATAAGCATGCCTGGTGCTTATGGAAAACAGAAGAGGGTGTTTGGATCCCTTGGAACTGGAATTAACCAGTTGTGAGCCATGATCTGTGAGCTGCCATGTGGGTACTGGGAGTTGAACTTGGGTTCTCTGCCAGAGCAGCTCCTAAGCACTGAGCCATCTCCTCGGCCCTAACTTTGTAAGTCTTACTTTCATATATTTTGGTCAGAAGTGTTAAGGATATTTGAGGAACTTACTTGGAAACAAGGATTTGCATCTTGATTCTTAAAAGAAATTGTTTTGGAAATAGACATAATAGATAGAGTTGAAGTTTTTTGGTGGCATGGTGACTGCCTTGTTCTCAGCTCTGTCTTGGCTTTGGCCACAATACTTAACACATAATATGCATTCAATAAAAACTTCTTACATAGTAACTTATGCTAGCAAATACTAAAACTTCGAAGTTAGGATATTGAAAGCAAAGTGGTATCAGTGAAAGAATAATTGAATTATTAGAACTGAATATGTCTAGATGCATGTGCTTGTCTATTTAAGAAGTTAACACATGGATATTTGGTGGGGGAGGAAAAAAAGAAAGATTCTTACCTAAAAAATATACAGAAGGGGTCTGGACCAGTGGCTTAGAGGTTAAGACCATTGGATGCTGTTCCAGAGGACCTGGCTTCAATTCCCAGCACCAGCATGGTAGCTTACAACTGTCTGTAATTCTAGGTCCAGGGGATCTGATACCCTCTTTTGACCCCTTAAGGGCACCATGCATATGGTATACATAAATGCATACATGCAGGCAAAACACTCATACACATAAAAAATTTAAAAGCAGCAAAGTAGACCCTAAGTGAATAAAATGTTTAATATAGGAAAAACAAAAAACTTAAAAAAGTTATGCTTGATTTTTTTTTTTTTGTAGCAAAAGGTTTTCTTTGTGTGGAAAGGAGAAGAAAGAACATTGACCTTTTCAGCAGATATTGGAAACAGTTTTGATTCCCCCCAACTTATAACCAAAATAAAAAAAAGACAAATGACTAATGGGTAGAGCGAGTTTAAAAGCAAGTTAGCAACTGTAAATGGACAGAATTTGATTAGTTATGTTAATGAGTAAAAAATACGAATGTTTAATATGTGTGACCAAGTTACTTGTTTAGTAAACAAATATATACAGTGTGCCTGATTCATGATGACACTTGGGAAGGTAAGACAGGAGAATCGGGGCTCACTACCAGCCTGAGCTTCATGATACCCTATCTCAGAAAGAAGAAAAGAACCAAATCTAGTGTGGAATGAGAATATCATTTTACCCAATATGCTGAAAAGATGATGAAAGATAATTAAAAAGATGGTAACTTTGTGGCGTAGAGCCCTTAGGCCAAAGGGTTTTAAACAGGGCTTAAATTTTTGTCAAGTCCCCCCACCCCTACCCCAAAGATGTGGGATTGTATGTAGCATCTTCTATTTGGCCAAAGATTCATGCAAGGAAATACTAGCAAGGAGCTGGGTTTCTGTTATTTGTATACTTGGAAAGACTAGACCAAGAATAGTTTTGAGGACTCACGATAGAGGCTAGCTGTGCCTGGGGTAAGATCAGCAGGCAGATTTGGGGCTGAATAAAGTTGCAGTTCCCTGTCATAGTAAACAGAAAGGTGACAGATTGTCAGCTGCTGAGTGCTTATTATGTGATAAGCTTGGATAATTTCCTTAGAACTTTTCAATTTTAAGTGGCTTTTTAGTGAAGCATGAATCTATTTTAGACTTACTTGCTGCCAAGCTAGGGTCTGATTTCAGTGTCTGGGACCATGAGGCAGAAGGAGAGAAGTTATCCTGTGACTGTCACACATGCTGTGGTGCCTGTGTTCTCCCTCCCTCCATCCCACATAGAAGAAATTAATGTAACAAGATGTAAAAATACAACACAAACAATTCCCTTATGTGCCTTATCTTGATTCTTCTTCCATCATCTTAGCTAAGCAGTATACACTTGTCAAGATGAAATGATCATTGGTTACAACATTATCAACGAAGCCCAAGTCCTACTTAGATCGTACCAGTTGCACACAGTGCTTTCTTTCTAGAATACCTGTTCCCATTCTTATGTGCCATTTTGTCATTAGACTTAACAGTCTGGACCTATCGCTCTGTCTTTCCTTGTCATTCATAACCTTGACACTTCAGAGGTACACTAGTTATGGATTCTGTAGATTGTCCCTCAATTTCAGCTGTATGGCATTTCTATATGGAAATGCACATTTTGTGAGAATATCACAAAAATAGCAATGTCAACCTAACCCATCGTTTTGAGTTTGTAAAAAAATGTGTATCATTTAATTCTAATATAATACAAAAAAAGCAGAATTTAGAAAGGTTAAATACTGTGCCTAAGATTGCATTTGTATTGAGGCAACATCTAATTCTTAGGTTCTCTGTTTTCTCAGTGTTCGCTGTGGTTAGGGTTACCTCGAGCATGTTAGGCACGTGCTTTATCACTGAGCTATATCTCTAGCGTCTAGATTCACTTTTACCTTCTTTGTTAGAACAAATCAATGAATGCATTTTGGTGACTCTAAGCTTACTTCTCCTTTATCACTAAGGGAGTTGGATTGGTCAGAATCTAGTTTCTTTTCATTGCTGGCTGTGATTGATACGATTTCTGTAATGACCACCTCCGTCATGTGTCTGTTGTGTGACTTGGCTTGACCTGATGGGTTTTGCAGTGTATTTTGATGTAACTTCAAGCCTTAGAGTTGAGTTCTACTCAGTGTTAATTGGAAACCAATGTTTTCTGAAAGAATGCTTATTCCTGGGTTTAGTCATCAATAAAGAACATTGATCTCCAAAGAGGAAATTGAAACTAGGAAAGCAAGCCGAGGAACTTTAGACAAGGAATTGTTTTAGTTGAGTGTATTATTCCTTTGCATTTAGGCTTGAAGACAGCAAATGACAAGATATAGACGGATTCCTTCCTAGGAGATAGGAAAGTCTTGGGCTGGCACCGGAAAGCAAGCCACATCTTAAAAGCCAGATTATCTGTAGCTCGTTCCTTCCTCCTCCCTTTATTTTCTCACCACTCAAGTCCTTAGATCCTTGATGCTCATCTAAGCAGTGTGATGAGAAAGGGAAGAAGGTCTAGTTCCCTTTATTCCAGAGTGGGGAAGGTAGTACTAAGCCTTTGAGAAGCTGGGTGGGGGTGGGGGAAGGAAGGCAGAGAATGGCAAGGGATGGAACAACACCGCCTTGTCTGCCAGGGCTAGTGTAACACAGTACCACTTCACTAGCTGACAGAAACATTTCCTTGTAGGTCAAGGTGCTGGCTGGCTTGGTTTCTTTCTCCCATGCTTACTGATGACTGTCTTGTCCCCTACCTTCATATAGTCTTCCTGATTACTGTACACATCCAGATTTCCTACTCCACTGTGATGACCTCATTTTAACTGGCCTCCTTAAAGACAGTCTGCACATCTTCTTGGTGTTGCTTGTTTTGGTTGTGGTAATGGTTGTTCCTGGTGCTGGGATGGAATCCAGGGTCTTGAGTATGGTGCAGCAAGTACTCTACTGCTGTGTTCCAGCACCAGCTGAAAGGAATTTTGAGAGAAGCAAATAATATTATGTAATTACTTAATGTTAAATTTTTAACTTAGAAATCTGGTTGCAGACCCAGATTTGTAGTCCAAGACTTAGGAAGCTGAGACAGAAGGATCAGCTATTCTAGGCCAGTCTCAGCTTCATAGTGTGTTTGAGGCCAGGGTAGGCGATAATAAGGTCCTATATTAAAAAAAAAATAGCACTTGTGAAAGAGGCTCAGTGAGTAAAGGCACTTGCTGCCAGTGCCCGATGATCATGGCGTTCAGAAAGAACCAGCTCCTTCAGCTTGTCCTCTGACCTCCACATGCATGCTGTAGTATGAGTGTACCTACACACAAACATACAACTGTAAAAAAATAACAAAGCAACAACCAAATGGACAGAAATGGAGTCTTAAATTCCTTTGCAATGATCCTTTGTAGGAAGTAAGGACTTGGGGGTGGTTGGAGGGCATGGGTGAAAGATTATCTACTGTTTGATTGTGTTTGATGGTGTGAATGTACACAGAAGGCTTTATTATATTATGTCTCATAACTGGTTTTGTTCAAAATTTCTAATATTATGAAGATTAATCACGTCATGGTGGTGAGTGCCTATGATCTCACAGCTCACGAGGGAGAAGCAGGATGGTCACTATAAGTCTGAGGCTAGCCTGGTCTTACATCATGCATTTTGGGCCAGCCAGAACTATATAATATAGACACAGTCACTAAAAGACAAAGAAGGGCTGGTGAGATGGCTCTTATTGTGAAAGCATAATGACCTGTGTTCAATCCCCAGAACCCACGGAAAAATGGAAGGAAAGAAGGAACTCCATAAACTTGTCCTCTGACCTCCACACACACTTTGTGGCATAGGCCACACTTATCACACATATAAGATAATAATAATTTTAAAGTCCCCTCAAAAAAACAAAATAAAAAGGCAGTTGGCTGGTGTGGCACCTGTATTCCCAGCACTTGGGAGGGTGAGGCAGGAGTATTTCTGCAATTGTGAGGCTAGCACGAGCTATAGAGCGTGTCTTAGTTTGCTTCTTTATTGCTGTGATAAACACCATGCTCCCAAACAGCTTGGGGAGGAAAGGGTTTACTTGGCTTACACTTCCATATTACAGTCCATCATTCAGGAAGTCAAGACAGGAACTCAAGGCAGAACCTAGAGGCAGGAATTGAAGCAGAGGCCATGAAGGAGTGCTGCTTACTGGCTTGCTCTCCATGGTTTGCTCAGCCTACCATTTTTTCCTTAAAGCTTTATTCTTTATTTTATGTGCATGCATATTTTGTCTCCATATAATGTAAGAGTGCACCATATGCTTTCAGGTGCCTGAAGAGGCCAGAAAAGGGTGTTGGATTCCCCTGGAGCTTGAGTTAAAGGTGGCTATAAGCCACCATGTAGATGGTTGACAGCTAAATCCCAGTCCTTTTCAAGAGCAACAAATGCTTTTAACCACTAAGCCATCTCTCCAGACCCCTCACCTCCACCTGCTTTCTTATACTGCCCAGGACTACCTACCTACTCAAGGGAGGTACAACTCAGAGTGGGCTGGGAACCCCTGCATCAATCCTTAATCAAGAAAATACCCTACAAACTTGTCTGCAGGCCAATCTGATGGGATCGTTTTTTCAATTGCGTTTCCTCTTCTTCCCCGATGACTTGAGCTTTTGTCAAGTTGACAAAACAAAACAAAACAAAAACCTAGCCAGCATAGGGTGAGACATTATACAAACCCACCACAGATTCAGTATTATGGCATATGTTTTGTATCTTATAGTTTATATGCATACAAACTCAATATTAAGTGGTATATCCTGATTCAGGAGTTGAACACTGTGACTGAATTTCAGAGTAGCACATATGTTGGAGCTAATATTATTTTTGCTTTATTGTAGTTGAGGCTTCTTGTCATAATGGAGATGAAACAATTGAGACCATTGAGGCTGCTGAGGCACTCCTCAATATGGATTCTCCTGGCCCTATACTGGATGAAAAACGAATAAGTGAGTGCTAACGATTGCTTGTATCTGTTGTATACATTGCAAAGCTATTCTTGCCATCTCCATTAGATAGTAAATGTCAAGAGAACAGAAGAGGCTTTTTTGCTTTTGCAGGTCCCAAGCACATTGCTATGGGGTACCTTTGTTAAAACATTCTGTTTAACTGATTTAAAATTTGATGAATAATTTTTAGAATAAAAAGTAGTTTGTCCTTTACGAAATAGTAGATTATGCAAAATCTTGTCTTTTTTCTCCCAACATATTTTTATTAATTATTTGGGAATTTCATACAATGCACCCTGATCACACTTGCAATTTTTTTATTAAGAAAAGTTTTTCATTCATTTTACACACTAATCAAAGATCCCCCTCTTCCCATCCCCCCAGTCCTTACCCCCTCAACCCACCCTCCACTCCCACCCCCCAAGAAGGCAAGCCCTCCCATGGGGAGGCACATCCAGTAGAGGCAAGAATCAGAATCCATCCCTGGTGCATGAGGGGGCTTTTGGGAGCCCGCTACCTATGCTGGGACACCTCGTGCAGCCTTGAGGCAGGGGGAAGGGCTTGGACTTGTTTTTTTTTTGTTTTTTAACTTTATGTGCATCAGTGTTTTGCCTGCAAGTATGCATGTGCGCTGCATGTGTGTAGTACCAACAGAGGCCAGAAGAGGATGTTGAATCTCTTGGACCTGGAGCTATAGAGGGTTGTGAGTCATGATGTGGGTGCTAGTAACTGAACCCTGGTCTTCTAAAAGAGCACCAAGTGCTCTTAACTGCTGAGCCATCTTTTAAGTCTCTCATTGGTTTTGAACCCAGACTAGTACAATATAGTCATTTCTGTAGATAATTGTATTATATAGGCAAAACCTATTGAAATTTTTCCTACCCATTTGTTGCATAAAATTTATTGCCAGATTATTAACCTTTTAAAAAATGTATTTCCCCTTTGACACTTTCTGACAAGGGGGAACCAAAACTTAAAAGCATAGTTACTAAGTCACTTGAAGGTATTTATTGAATGTTTGTGATGTGCACAGCAGTATGTTAGGCAATAGCATGATATAAAAAGAATGACTATTGTTCCTTTCTTCAATCTTACAGTTTAATTTTGAATTCATTCATGTGTGTAAATAACTATAAACTCCAAAAACAAAGAAGTGCTAGCGTAGTGCTCTGGAGGCAGTGGGTGCTCTAGCTTTATGGAGAGAATGTTTTAACCAAATGACAGTTACACTTCATTAGACAGAGGAGACAGAAATGGGCATTTAGGTTAGAAGGAATAGATTCAACCACCAGCACCAACTTGTACAGTATTTTTTTTCCGAGAGAAAGATGTTTTTGTATGTGTGGTTAAAGTGTTAAGCTTCATGGTGAGTGGGGAATGAGGTTGAAAAGGTAGGTTGGTTTAGATTGTGGAAACTTTGAGAGGCATGCTGTGGAGTTTGTGTGGTTTGTTTTGTTTTTCCTCAGTAAATCACAGGGAGATACCTTTTGCTATGATTTGTCCTTCTTGTTTTTAGAGAATAAAGCATTTGTATAGAGGTCTAATGTGGTGAGATAGGAATTGAGTTTCAGAAGGTAGACATGGGGAGGGGAGGTAAGATAGACTGGTGTAGGAATCCCAGCCTAGGCTGCTTGATTTAGGGCAAAGAAAATAAAAGGCAGAGAGTTTATAGAAACAAGAAATTATTTGGTTTATAATACAAACCTGATTAAAGTCGATTTCATTTCCAGTAGATAATAATATATTTAGTTCCTCTGAAGATGACATTGTTGCTCCAATCACCCATGTGTCCGTCACATTAGATGGGATTCCTGAAGTGATGGAAAATCAGCAAGTGCAAGAGATAAATGTAGACTCCCCAGGAGCCTCATCCCCAGAACAACCTAAAAGAAAGAAAGGTGAGTGTCTACCTTACGTAGGTCACCAGTCAGTATTGATGGAGAATCCAAATATACTTTTTTTCTTTTTGGTTTTTTGAGACAGGGTTTCTTTGTGTAGTTTTGTTGCCTGTTCTGGATCTGGAGACCAGGCTAGCCTCAAACTCACAGATATCCACCTGGCTCTGCCTTCCGAGTGCTGGGATTAAAGGCGTGCACCACCACTGCCCGGCCCAAATATACTTTTTTCTGTTTTTTTTTTTTTTCTTGGTTTTTTTTTTGGTTTTTCGAGACAGGGTTTCTCTGTGTAGCTTTGCGCCTTTCCTGGAACTCGCTTTGGAGACCAGGGTGGCCTCGAACTCACAGAGATCCGCCTGGCTCTGCCTCCCGAGTGCTGGGATTAAAGGCGTGCGCCACCACCGCCCGGCTCCAAATATACTTTTTTATTAGAGGGTGTTTCTATACCAGTTAAGATATGTAAGAAAAAATGAGAACACAAAACAAATTGAGGTATTTCTTCATATTAGTCACTAAAAATCTTAGGTACTTAATTATTGATCTTTCTCACCCAAAGGAGATTTCCAACTCTTTGTTTTTTGTTGCATTTATTTATCTTCAAATATGTATGCTTGAGTGTGTGTGTGTGTGTGTGTGTGTGTGTGTGTGTGTGTGTGTGTGTGTGTGTACACATGCGTACATGCATGCGCGCATGTGAATGTTGATGCCCACAGGAGCCAGAGCTGGTTTTGAGCTGTCATATGGGTGCTGGGAAGAGAATCCCAGTCCTCTATAAGCAGCAAGTGCTCTTAACAGCTGAGCCATTTCTCCAGCCATCTGTTTTGAGAAATGCTCTCAACTATCCTGGACTGGCTTTGAACTCCCATGTAGCCAAGAATGACCCAGATCCTCCTTCCAAGTGCAAGGTTCACAGGTGTGTATCACCACTCCTCATGCCTTAGGGCAGTGGTTCTCAACCTTCCTAATGTTGTGACCCTTTAATGCACTTTCTCATGTTGTGATGATCCCAAACCATAAAATTATTTTCATTGCTACTTCAGAACTATAATTTTGCTACTGTTATGAATCATAATATAGATATCAGATGTGCAGGATATCTGATATGCAACCCCTGTGAAAGGATCTCGACCCACAGGTTGAGAGCTGCTGCCCTAGGGCATAGTTTGAAAACCTCCAGTCTACCAAAGATTCCATTACAGGGTGCCAACGGGAAAACACTGTAGAAAGTTGGAATTCTGTAGGCAGCTGAAGACAAAAATGGTAGATTATGTTAAAGGAGAAGCTTGAACTTTTCACAAATTGAGAGTGCCTTAGTTAGTTTTAATTGTCCACTTGACACAGCCTAAAGTCATCTGAGGGGAAAGCCTGGATTCAAGAATTTCCTAGATCAGATTTGTCTTTGGGCATGTCTGTGGGTCTTGATTACTAATTGTTGTTGGAGGCAAGGCAGCCAACTATGGGCAATACCATCCCTATGAGAGGTGATCTTGGCTGTTTAAGAAAGCTAAGTAAGCATGAACCTAAGCCAGTAAACAGTATTTCTCTACCATTCCTGCTTAAGTTCCTGCCCTGAGCTTTTTCAAAAGCAAGGTCCTGTCTTACAAAAAGAACTCCCTGCCCCAACCACTCCCCCACAAAAGAGGCATGCCCAATCACTCTGGCCTAGAATTCACAGAGAGCCACCTCCTTTTGACTCTACCTTCCAAGTGCTGGAATTCAAGGGTGTGCTACCACACACAGCTGTATGGCTAATTTTTTTAGCTCAAAGATTGTTGGTGTTAGGAATATTCTTAAAAAATGTAAGAGAAAGCACTAGTGTGATGATCTCAGGGAAAAACACAGCATTTGAAATTGGACTTCATTTTCTTTTTACAGGTGAGACAGAGTGACTTCTGGTTTCTTCCCCCCCCCCCCCCATCCCTGGTGTGCTGGGGATCAAACTTGGGGCTTGTGCACATTAGACGAGGACTCTGATGTTGGACTGTGTCTCTCGTCCTGAAGTATAATTTCATATAAGTCATTATTTGTGATTTAACCTACTTAACGCTCAACTTTTACTGAAGTTATTTTTCTTTTAGATAGCATTTTGAGATACCAGTTTGCTTGACCCATGTATAAAAGTTTGGAACTTGAAATTTTTGATAAACAACAAGATAGTGAAACTGCCCATTTTCATTCAATCTTGAGGGCAAATATTTATACAGAGCTATTCTGATTTCAGGAAGAAAAACAAAACCACCACGACCAGATTCCCCAGCCACTACACCAAATATATCGGTGAAAAAGAAAAATAAAGACGGGAAGGGTAAGTACTAAGATTTCTTTATCTACAGGTTCAGTGCCCTCTCCTCTCTTCCCATCTTCCCTGTGCTCCTTTCCTGCTCCTTGTTACACACACAACTAAAACCAAAAAGTGTGTGTGTGTGTGTGTGTGTGTGTGTGTGTGTGAGAGAGAGAGAGAGAGAGAGAGATACACATGTACCAAATGACTACCTTGGGTGTGTAAAACCTTGTGGTCCAGGCCGCTATTGAACTCCCTAGTAGCTGAGGGTGATCTTGAACTGCTAATCTTCTCCCACCTCCTAAGTGCTGGGATTACAGATGCCACACCACTGTAACCCCAAACCCAGCTCATCATTTTTCTTGTTAGAGCCAAGTAGAACATACTGTTGCCTGGTGCTTATAAGATACTGTCATCAATTTCTGTAAAGAGACTGGTAACAAAATTGCCTATGAAATTCATTTCAGTTTTTTTTTATTTGTCTATCAAAATATTCCATTAATGCATTCAGCAAAGTTTTACAGCAACTCAGCTAGTCCAGAGTTTCAGTTTGTAAATCCGTACTATGGTGTGTTGGACATCTAGTGTTTCTGCAATTCTTGCTCAAATTGAAGAATGCTATCATGGTTGATCTGCTGGTTCTGATATAAAGAGGACTATTGAAAGCTTTTTTTTAATTTTAATATACTTTTGATGTTTTCACTATGTGATTGTTTTTAAAGAGCAGACAGAAATTATCTCAGTGTTTCCCCTAGGTCATCATGAATCTAATTGACAAGATTGCCATTCATACATCACATATGTATGAACTTAGTAAGGTCTCTACTAGATCCTATGACTGTATTCACCAATACTGAGGGATTGCATCAGCTAATTGAATGATGTGATATTTCTTTGCGGGTAAAGACAGACCTAGTAAGACTTCTAGTCCTTTGGTTGGTTGGTTTGTGCTTTTAAAGGAAAATGTGTTCCTTTAAAGTAAACTGATTTTGTTTCAGGAAACACAATTTACCTTTGGGAGTTTTTACTGGCTCTGCTTCAGGACAAAGCTACCTGTCCTAAATACATCAAATGGACACAACGAGAAAAAGGCATTTTTAAACTGGTCGATTCTAAAGCAGTGTCTAGATTGTGGGGGAAGCACAAAAACAAACCTGATATGAACTATGAGACCATGGGAAGAGCACTCAGGTATGTGAGGGTTTTGTTATGTTAAATATGTCACTCCTAGGTATTGAAAAACAGGTAACTTTTTAAAAATTAAGGACTGTGATTATGTTTATGTTATTTGTTTTATAGTGCTGGGAATGAACCCAGTGCTTTGTGTATTCTAGACAAGCACTCTACTACTGAGCTCCATCCCCAGCCCATGAATTATATTTATGGAAGGAACCACGGTACTTACAGAAATCAGCATACATTTAAAGTTAAATCTTACTTCAACTGGGGAAAATACTGTTCTCATACAAATAATCATGCAAAACAGCAGGGTCTAGTCTGAAAGTCAGGAATCCAGATTCTGAAACTTTTGAGCAACAATTAAGAGGATTAAGCAATTTGGATTTGAGGGCATTTCCAAGTTTGGATGTTCAACTGGTAAGATCTGTGCAAATATTTAAAAATAATTCAAAACCAACTCCAAAACCTTGAAACACTATTGGTCCCAAGCATTTCAGAAAATAGATAACCCAACTTATGTTTTACTTATAAAGAGATCTGAAAATTTATAAAATGTTAATCTCAGATATCTGTTATTATAGTAGAATAATGAATACTTCAATATTGATATTAGATAGAAGAAATTTAAGCACATTTTTGTTTTGTTTTTCTATGACTGTGTCATTACTTATTCTACATGTTGTTTGAGAAAGACTTGAATTAGAAATGAGTAGAGGATATATGGTTTGTCGTCTTAACTTAGAACTTCCTTCTTCTATTCTTTTTCTTTTTCCTTTTTCTGAAACAGGGTTTCATTATGTAAACCATGCTGGCCTTGAACTCACAGAGACCCACCTGTCTCTACCTTAAGAATGCTGGATCAAAGGTGTACACCACCACACCTTGCTTACAACTACTTTATCTTTTATTAGCAGCTGCTGCTCCTCCTCCTCCTCCTCCTCCTCCTCCTCCTGCTCCTCCTCCTGCTCCTGCTCCTGCTCCTCTTCCTCTTCCCCTGTTTCCCCCTTCCCCTTCTCATTCTTCTAAGCAGAGTCAGAAGAAGGCACTGGATCCCTTGAAATTGGAGTTATAGACATTATGTGGGTGCTGGGTCTTCTTCAAGAACAATAAGTGCTCTTAACTGCTGAGCCATCTCTCCAGCCCCAAGGAAAGGTTTTAATAACCAACATTTGAGGGCAGAGAGAGGGAGAGAGCCGCTTAGGAAAAGGACATTATACACAAAAGACATAGGTGTGTGTTTACAAGAATCACTTAGGTTATTGATTTTATTAAAACCACTGACATTTGAATCACCAAATTTTGCACAATTGAGTTAAATTTAAATTTAAATTGTATGAATGCTGCTGGTAAGGTAGGGAATAGGGAAGGGGAGACAATGTCTTGAAGTGTGTAGTAAAGTTGATTATCCCAGAAAATTAGCAGCATGGAACAGGAAGGAAGAGAAGCGAAGCTCCAGTCATTCTCCACAGTTCCCTATTCAGAATTCTTCTTAGATTTGGCTGTTAATAAGGACTTGCATGTGTGTATATATGTGTTTGTGTGGGTGTGTGAATGGGTGCTTGTGGTGGAGGTCAGAGGTTTGGGTGTCTTCTTTGATTACTCTCCGTGTTGTATTATGGTACCAGGTCTCTTGTTGAACCTAGAACTCATTGACTGAGCTAGGCTGCCTGTCTCTCTGCCTCCTCAGCACTGGGGCTCTGCGCCACTGAGCCCAGCCCTTGCATGGGTGCTGAGGATGGAGTGCAGGATTTTATGCAAGCAGGCACTTTACTAAGTGATCTTTTCAGTCCCTCATAAGGATTTAATCTTGGTATGAGTTTGTACATATTTTGTATAAATGCCCTTCCTTTACAGATTTCCTCACTTTCTGCCTGGTGTGGTGAGGCACACCTTTCATCCCAGCACTCGGGAGGCAGAGGCAGGCAGATCTCTGTGAGTTCACGGCCAGCCTGGTCTACATAGTGAGTTACAGAATAGTCAAGGCTATGTACAGAGACCCTGTCTCAAAAACAAAACAAAACAAAATAATAAACTGCAGTAACAACAAATTTCTTTATTTTTAAACTTTAGCCCTAAAATTTTATGATTAGGAAAAAATGATTTTGTTGACTATGATTTTAATTTATATTTGATTCAGTAAGATTGATGAAATTGTCTGCTTTGACTAGGTACTATTACCAAAGAGGTATTCTTGCAAAAGTGGAAGGTCAGCGCTTGGTGTATCAGTTTAAAGAAATGCCAAAAGATCTCATATACATAGATGATGAGGATCCAAGTTCCAGCATAGAGTCTTCGGATTTCTCCTTATCTCCAACAACCACATCCAGTCGGAATCAAGCAAACCGATCAAGAGTATCTTCAAGTCCAGGAATAAAAGGAGGGGCCGCTACAATTCTGAAACCAGGGAATTCTAAAGCTACAAAACCCAAAGATCCTATGGAAGCTGGACAGCCATCAGAGGTTGTGAGGACAGTGCAGTCCTCCCAGGCTCCCTATCCTACCCAGCTCTTCCGGACTATTCATGTGGTACAGCCAGTACAAGCGGTTCCAGAAGGAGAAGCAACCATAACCAGCACCATGCAGGAAGAAACAGCAAATTCTTCCATTCAGAGTATTAGGTAAGGAACCGGTGACCGGTGCACATCACGGTGTGATGTTCTGAGCAGAGGCATTGTTTGTTAAGTGGGTCAGGATTCAGAAGATAGAATTCTTCGTCAATAGGTTGTTTCAGGAGCAAAATTATATCAGGTCTCTGATTCTATCAGCAGTTGTGTTTTTGTTTATTTTTAATTATGTGTGTCCCTGTGTGGGTTTTTGTGTACCTGACTGCAGATGCCTGTGAAGGCTTGAGATACTAGGTCCCTTGGAGCTGGAGTTATAGACAGTTGTGAGTTGCCCGATGTGGGTGTTGGGAATTTTATTCCAACAAGAGCGATCCATGCTCCTAACCACTAAATTATCTTTTTAGACCTTGTTTGTTTTTGAATCTCATGTAGCCCAGGATATCCTCAAACTCTTGCTATTTGACCTTCCTGATTCCCTCTCTCCCAAGTCTGTGTTTGCTGTTACTCTACCAATTTGTTTAGCATCATAGATCACAGTGTACCAAAACCTAGCATAAACTGTCATAACTGAGACATTTAAGATGCACTCACTGCCAAGAATAAGTGGCATCGCTTGGGAAGACCTGTTTTAGAATACGTCTGAAGCCCAAGTATGACGGTCAGGAGTCAGTTTCTCGTCTTCAGGTGTTAATGTGCCAGATGTTGCCAAGTCTCCTAGTCCAGTTTAATCAAATCAGACTTGAAAAAGGTGCTGAACATCCAATTGACCAAGAAAATCCTATCTCTAGATTGGTCTTCTGGAAAAATTTAGGACTGCTCTCATTTGATTTTAGAATAAGGCAAGAGATAATGGTCCAAAATTAAATGGAAATTTATAGTTCTTGTATTTTGTCTTAGTTAGGGTTACTACTGCTGTGATGAAACACCATGACCAAAAGCAAGTTGGGGAGGAAAGGGTTTATGTAAACCACAGGAATTGTTGTCAACATCTCAGGTTTTCCTTTAAATCAGTTTATAATGATACATTTTAGTTTTGATTTGGACTTCATGATAGTTCAATGACCAACAAAGTAAACTCCTGGTAAAGTGTTTCAGAATTGTCCCTGGTAAACTTTGAAGTCCATTTTCTTTAATATTTATCCAGGCACTAATAGTTTGTCTTAAGGTCTTTAAAATTATCCTTTAAAAATGTCTAAAGCTGTAGGTTTACTTTAAAAGCAAGGTAACATGGTAGGAAGAATGTGTGCCAAACCTTTCAGCCCACCAGCCTTGCCAATTATTAAATGTGCAGATCAATCGACTATTGGGAATATTTCCTCATCTATAAAATGAAAACAGTACTCTAAAAATGAGTACACGTGGTTGTGACATTAAATGACACTTCTTGACACCTGAGTCAATTTTCAACACAAACTAAATGTCACATAATAATAAGCCTCAGAAATTCTGATGAATCATAAATCAGCAATATGATAGCTCTTAGTTACAAGCAGCTTAGGAGTTTTAAAAAGTAGTTAACTTGAAGATAAAACTGATGTAACATAATTGGATACAACTGGTGATTTACTTATAAAGAAAAAAATGTTTGGAAATTGCTGTGGCTGCAGGAACTTCATGGTAGCTTATTCTTTAATAACTACATTTCTTTTGACATGGTATCTTGTGTCCCAGGATGGTCTCAAATTTGATATATATATATATATAGAAGGATGGCCTTGAACTTTTGGTCTCCCTGCCTCCTCCTCCTGAGCATTGAGATTGTAGGAGTCTGCCGCCTTGCCCAGTTTTTGTTTGGTTTTGAGACAAAGATGTGATATGTAGCTAAGGCAGGGTATACTATCCTCTTGCCTCAGCTTCCCACATGTTGTGATTTCAAGCCTGCACTATTATAATCTCCAAATGCTTTTTGTTTGGTTGGTTTTTGTTTCTTCAAGATAGGGTCTCTCCAGGTAGCCTTTGTTGTTCTGGATCTCGCTCTGTAGACCAGGTTGGCCTCAAACTCACAGAGATCTGCCTGCCTCTGCCTCCCGAGTGCTGGGATTAAAGGTGTGTGCCACCAATGCCTGGCTCCAAATGTTTTTTTTTTAAGTGAAAATTGCTCTAGAATTTGTTCAAATGAGTCAATATATTTATTTTGTAGGTATTATATAAGTTTCCCGAGAGATAGCAATCTTATAAAAAAAAAAAGCCCATTTTTAAAACCATTGCACAAAAGCATTGAAGACCTAGAGATAGCTTTAATTAGTAATATGCAAAATTTCCCAGTACACTGTGCCATACTGTAGAAGAAGATAAAGGCATGGGTGCAGGACACACTGAAGAACTAATCATATAATTGTATTGATGGGACAGGGCAATGTGTGGAGAGCACACACATTCATGTCAAAAAGTTGAAAATGAAAATAGTAAGTATTCATCTTTAGCTGAGGTTATTCAGGACTATATAAGTAGTATGTATTGTAATGGTTATGCACATAGGTTCTGAAGTCAGACTTGTTTACCTTAAGGAATCTGTCTACCTCTGCAACAAAGTACCTACATGTAAATGAGGATCATAGCATTTACAGGGTGGCAAGATTATATATATATATATACTTTTGTGATAACTAGACGACAAATGCTATTTTATCTATAAATTTATGTAAATGCTTGGTATGGGAAGGTCTCTGACTTTATTTTGAAAAGTGGTATCTGCCTGGGTATAGTAGTGGTGTTGCTGGTGGCCTTGTCTGGACCAGGTGTGTCCAGATTCTTGGTGTCTTAGCCAAAGAATTGAAAACACACACAGAGATGGCAAAGTAGCAAGAAGTTTTGCTTAAGGAGATAGTACATGAAATGCTGCAAGGGAGCAGTGGATTACTTGAGCTGTAGTGCCCCAGAACCGTAGCTCATGTTTAGGGCTTTCTTTTGGGTTCCAGGAAGAGGAGTTGGTTTCTAAGGGTTCTGTTTTGATTGATTGTCTAAGCCTTTGATTATTGTGCATGCTATGATACATTTTATTCTAATCATATGAGTGTCCCTTGTGTATAGACATAAGAAGGTAAGTAGGAAAAAGTTGATTGGGAGGATACAGTTTGCCTTACTGCAGATTTACCCAAAATGAGTTGCGATCAGACTAGGGACCCTGTTGCTCATGTCTGGATATATTCTGAGACACATTGGAATGGAAACTGACGACAAAACAGGAGTCACCAAAGGTTGCCAAGAGGGGCAACTTATTCCATTCTTTGAAATGAGGTATATGTGCGGCCTGATGCAGTTAGGGTCCCCAGGCTGCTAAGCTATCCCTGTGCTTGCCTGCTTCAGTGGTGCACAGCTACAGTCTCATCACTCAGGAGCTTGAGGCAGGAGGATCATAGTTTTGAGCCAGCTTGTGCTATATTATAGTAAGACCCTATCTGCAAACAAACAAAAAGAAATCTAGGGGTCAATGGAATGGCTCAGCGGGTAAAGGCATTTGCATCAGTGATCTCTGGGACTCATATGGTGGAGGGAGAGACCCGATGGATCCAGTTGTCTTCTGATATCTACAAGTGTGCCTTGTGGCATGTATGCATTCATAGACAAATACTCCTACACACACAACCTGTAAGTATATAGTTTTAAAAAATTTGGCCAGGTCAGGTATCTACTCAAACTGCTTTCCCCAAAGATACTCTGGTTCAGATGAGAAGAATAGGATAGGCACAGTGTATTTTGGAAAGCCCTGTGTCCTAAGGTTGTTTTTTTCAATTCACTTTGTTTGCCTAATACTGCCACACCTTTATTATGAGTCACACCCTCCCACCTATTAAATCTGTATTACTTAACTCTTGTCTCTTCTAGTTCTACCCTTCTAGAGAGCTGTTAAAGCTGGGCATGGTGGTACATGCCTGTACTCAGTATTCAGGAGAATCACTCAAAGTTTGAAGCCAGCCTGATCAGCATAGCAGGTTCTGGGCCAGCCAGAGCCACATAGCAAGACCTTGTTTCCAAAAGAAAGAAAATGAAAAAGCTGTTACTATCCTCCCATAGACTGCTGTTCACAATGTGACTTGGGTACCAATCTGAACAGGAGATTTACTATTCCACAGGGATGCTGGAGTCATCTTGTGCCTTCCCACTTCTTCTGAACTTCTAAGTTGCACTTGATCTTTGTCTTATCTTTTCATGTGACTGCTTATCTTTGCATATGTGACCAGTCACACATAACTAGCACAATAAAATCTTATATTTAATAACTTTCTAGTTGATACTTAGTATTGAGCCATTTGAAGTGTAACTTTCACAAAATAACTTGACCAAATTCAGAGAGAACAGTTGAACTCAAGATACAGTTTTCAACTGACTTATAATAACAATAATCATAACTATAAACTTTAAGTTGTGTGTGGTAGTATATGCCTGTAATCCCAGCACTTGGGTGGTAGAGGCAGGACCTGGAGATAATGACTAACCTAGGCTATAAGAGACTTAAGTCTCAAACAAACAAACAAAACCCTGTAATATAAGTGCAAACTTTTAAAATTATATTGAGTCATCACATCATTTATGAACCTTTTTATTTAATAATAAGGTTATCTCATTATTACTGCTAGTTCTATAAATTGGATTTTACATTAATATTTTTTCTGTTAAATTGTAGTTTTATGTTGGGTGGGGTGGCGTATGTCTATAATCCTGTGTACTGGTGGATGGGGTCAGGGCTGGTCTGGGCAGCATAGAAAGACCCTATATTGAAAAAATATCTGTGAAAATTACTTTGGCCTCTAAAATTGCTAAAATATATGTGTATTTTATTTTGCCAAAGCTTGGCTTTAACTTTGCTCTCTGTTCGCCTAGAACTCTTAGAAATTACAGTCATGATTTGTATGATGTAGATCTGATACCAATTATGAGCTATGAAAATCCTAGTATCTCTGTTAAAAAATAGATGTTCTGTTAAGATAGGATTTTGTTTTAAAGTTAATCAAGTGTTTTTTCTGTTATGTTAAAAAAAAAAGATTGAACACAATTATGTGAAGTTTGGCGTTTGTTAGGAGTGAGCATGGTGAATCAACAGACCTTTTAAATTCATACTTTTCTTTAGAGTGGCCTATGCATAAATGCCTTGCTTAGTGTGTTGATGCCTTTCCCACATGTGTTAACGTGGCAGTATTCACAGATTTTTCATTTGAGACAGGGTCTTTCTAAAGAGACAGCCCTGGGTGACCTGGAACTGCCTCTGCCTCCCGAGTGTGGTGATTATAGGGGTGTGCTGCTGCCACACCCAGCCTGTATAATGTTTAAAACAAGGTTTGGCATAATGTTAATCAATTATGCTGTGATTAAAAATAGGGGAAGTAGCAATGCGAATACTTTTAAGAATAACTTGTGAAGAAGTATTGAAGTTTTACAAGGTGTACCATGTGCTGATTGTCTCACTTCTGTTTGGTGATCTCCATAGGACGATACAGGCTTCAACCCAGGTTCCAGTGGTCGTGTCTCCTGGCAACCAGCAGTTGCATACAGTAACACTCCAGACAGTGCCACTCACCACGGTTATAGCCAGCACAGACCCGTCGTCAGGTGCCGGGTCCCAGAAATTTATTCTACAAGCCATTCCATCATCACAGCCCATGACTGTACTGAAAGAAAACGTCATGCTGCAGTCGCAGAAGCCGGGCTCTCCTCCTTCCATTGTCTTTAGCCCCAGCCATTTACAACAGGTCCTCACAAGCAATGTTCAGTCCATTTGCAACGGAGCTGTCAGTATGGATTCATCTCCGTCCTTCAGTGCTACTACACCTGTGGTGACCTTTTCTCCAAGTTCCCAGCTGGTTGCACACCCACCTGGCACTGTGATCACTTCTGTCATCAAAGCTCAGGAAACAAAAACTCTCAAACAAGAGGCAGAGGAAAAGTTTGAAGAGCATTTAAATGAAGACACTGAACAGCAGCCCTATGTGATGGTGGTGTCCAGTTCAAACGGGTTTCCCTCTCAGGTAGCCATCAAACAGAACGAACTGCTAGAGCCCAACTCTTTTTAATTAGCACACCAAAGGAATTATGGGTGGTTATTTTTTTAATTGAACTCTGTTTTTGGTTGTCTGAAAATAACCTGATTTTTTTCCTATGAAAAATCCACAGAAGTCCCTAATTTTATAATTGTGAAACATAGTTACTTTTGCCTTTTCTAGAGGAGAAGGAAAACCCAAGTGTTTCTCTTCTCTGTATGTTTCAGAACTCAGTTGTGAAGGAGCAGGAATTTTATATTATGAAGAAATTCTTCTTGAGATTTTTTTCAGTTGCTATATCATAAGTGTTTTTAAAGTTTCTTTTCTAACTTTACACTGTATTAGCTTCCTGAATTGTTTGTAAATACTACTTAAATGTAAGTCAACAGGAAATTTATATAGGAAGTATTTTCATTCCACTTGTATAATTTAAGTCTTGACTCAGATGCAAGAAACTTATTTTATACTGTTAAAATTATTATGATGTCACTTAGTTGACTGCACTGTTTAAATAACATTATAAATTGTAATGTAAGCCCAGTGTGTTGGCACATGTAATCCCAGCAGTTGGGAGGTGGACAAAGGGCAATCAGGAGTTCAAGGCCAGCCTTAGATATGTAGTGAGTTTGAAGCCAGCCTGGGCTACATGAAACCTTAAAAAAAAAATCCAAAAGAAAGCAACAACAAAATGAAGTGTGCCCATGATAATGTCTGAACCTGAGTGTCAGAGATATGATATTATAAAGGCAGCAGCCTGTGAGTGGCACCTCCACTAGCTAGGTGTGTGACCCTGGGCAGGCTGCTTCATCTGCTAGAGCCTTTGCCGTTCTGGTAAAAAGAAGGGATGCACTGGACTACACAAAAAGGCTCTCCAAGTTCCTGTCTTATCATAAATTTTATGATTTTTAATATCTGTACTTTAAAATTATTCAGAATATTACCAGATTATTTTCTAATGTAAATATAGGTGGAAAGAATACTGTATAAAAATGTTTTCCTCACAAAATTCTTATCAGCAAGATCTACCATAAATACTAAGTTCTTTGTTCATCAATCCTTGGACCAGCTGGCACTGTGGCTTATTAGAAACTTAAGTGCTGAGTGCTAAATGGCAGGCTGCTGTTCTGAGAGTCAGGGCTTCAAAGGGCCAAGAAAGCAACCTGAGTCCTGAGCTAATGTAGTGGAGTCAGTTGTTGTAAAAGCATAATTTTTATAATAACTATAAAAAGCAATGCTTTTTATTTCGATAAATTTTTTACTGTGGGTGAAGGGGGAAGGAAATTGCATACAAAGATAACATATATCCAAGTTTCTGAAGTAGAGTCTTAGATTACTTTTTCAACTGTAAATAATGTACATTTAATGTCACAAGAAATTGTTTTCTGCAAATTTTCTAGTATAGAAATTTTTGTAGAAGAGAAATCATTATGTTTAGAGGGCTAATATTGTATGTTTTCATATTACAAAATGAATTTGTATTTAAACAAAAATTTAAATTTTGGAATCCTCTAAGCATTTTTGTATCTTTAATTGTTTATTATTAAATCATGTAAAAGTTCTCAATATTTCTGTTTTCAAGCAAGTGTTTGTCTTTATTTCTTTTGCTTTTGGACACAAGGCCTCCTTGGGCCACACTGTGCTGCCCTGGAACTAGTGATCATTCTGCCTCCGACTCCTGAGTGCAGGCGCAGGCCACCACACCTGTCAAGTGTTCGTCTCACACTGTGCGCACGTCCATGTGCAGGCCTGAGCAGGAGCACAGAGGACAGGGCAACCTTGGGGAGTTGGTTCTTTTCTTCCACCAGGGGCTCCTGGGTCGAATTCAGGCCTGCGCAGTGTTTTTACCCACTGAGCCATCACACTGGCCCTGGGACATGTTTCTTAAAAGAATGCACACACACACACACACACACACACACACACACACACACACACACACACACAGTTACTAGTATTTACAGTGGTACCAGATGACCCGATGTTTCTGTGAGACTCCTGGTCAAAGTTGCAGGAGGCTCTCTTTCCTTCGGCTATGCCATAGGACAGTTTCTAGACATCACACATAGAACACCAGTGATGGAGTCCATTAATATTAAGGTGGTAGAGGAAGGAGCAGTTGAGCAAGAGAATGCGCTGACAACAAATCTACTTCCAAATAATGGCAATCATCCATTCGGTTATGACCTCTGTCCTCATGACCTAGGCGCCTCTTTTGCTGTTCAGGTTTTGTCAATTTGACAAAAAACTAGAGTCACTTGGGAAGAAGGACCCTCACCGGAGACAATGCCTCCATCAGCTTGATTGGTGTGGGAGGGCTCAGCCCTCCGTGGGTGGTGCCACCCCTAGGCAGGTGGTCCTGGGATGTACAGAGCACCAGTTGGTGAGGCAAGCCTTGTTAGATCTTTTATAAGGGTTTTCACATAGTAGGTGCGATGGCGCAACAACCTGTAATCCCAGTACTGTGGGGACATAGAGGCAGGAGGATCAGCAGTTCAGGGTCCTCCTCAGCTGTACGGTGAGTCTGAGGCCACTTTGTGTTAAATGAGACTCTGTCTTCAGAAAGCCAAAGAAAACAAACTTCTTGTGTGTGAGGCTGGGGCTCTAGGTATACTTTAGAAAATGGCCGCACGTGCAGGAGGACCCACAGACCCTGTGCTACTGCTCCCAGCTTTTACATGGTTCTGAGGATCTGAATTCAGGTCACCAGGCTTACAGGGCAAGCGGCTATTTTCACTGAACCGTTTCCTGAGCCCTGAAACAGGCATTCTTATTAGAAACTTGGTCAATTAATTGCTAAACTTGGAAAAAGAAAAAATTCAAGAAAACAATCTCTAATATGGTATACCCCTACTCTCTCAGGGGTAACTTACTAATTTTCACACATCAGCACCCATTTGTGTGTGTATGCTGGTCTTGGGGAGCAAACTCAGTTTTCCAGGTTTGTGTAACACATGCTTTTATGTGCTGAGCCACCTTACCAGACCCTAACCTAAACCTTTTAAATTGGGTTAGTAGAGTTTTTCACTGTACAGAAAGACAGCAGTTGATCTGTGCTACTATAACAAATATACGCAAGACTGGGTCATTTATTAGGTACAGTTTGAGAGTCTAGAAAATTCTAAATGAGTGTGCTGGCAGGTCTGGCACTTCTGTTTCCAAGAAGATGCCTTGAATTTTGAATAGAACAATAAAATTGCCGTTGAATTTAAGGGGGAAATGATCTTTTCAGTAAGTGTCATTAGATTAGTTCGTATGTGTATGGAGGAGAAAATGGACTTTTATTCCTATGTCATACTTTCATAAAAGTTGTCAAAGTATATGGACTGACTTAAATGTGGAGAGTGAACGATCTAAAAGAAAGATTTCCATAGCCTTTGAATAGGCAGTCTTACATATGACACAAAAGAACTAATTATAAGTTGTTAACATTAAACTTGTTTCAGATATTAAGAGAATGAGATGACAACTGGCACAAGGTATCTGCAACAAATGTATCCGAGAAATAATTCACATCCAACCATACAGACAACTGTAAACTGAAGAAAACCAACATTTGCTTTAAAGATGTTTATGCAAAAGACAGTTCTCATCTTTACCCATCTGCTCTTTTATAGTTTAGTGTCTGCTGGGTACACATAAACTTAGAACAACTTTCAACCAAAACATGCAAACTGAAACCCTCTACCTTCCCTTACAATCTGCTCAGCTTCAGTTTTTTAGTTCAACTGTATCTTCTCACCAATTAACTCCATCCAGAAACCTGCACCTCTTTCAGTTTAGCGGCCAGCTGGCGCTGTTCTGCCTCAGTCTCTCACACCTTCTTCTCCATTCTGACAACAGTGGATTCAGGTTCCTTTCTTTGACCTATTATCTATCAACACTTTTCCCCTCACAACATCCATTCACAATACAGATGGGATATGCCTACAGTTTGCAAACTTGTAACACTTTAATTAACTTCTTATTCCATACCTCTGTCTCTTGATGACCTGGCACATCCTTAATCCGTGTACCCTTCTGTTTCCTTGTATTTTCAAACGACCCCCCCACCTCCCAGTGCCTTATTGCAGCTGCATGGGTTGAGTGGTGGGTGGGGTTTTGTGTTTTGCTTTTTTTTTTTTTTTAACAGAAAGTGGAGTTGCCCAGGATAGACTGCCCAGCAGGCAAGCACGCTGAGGATTTTGGCCTGTATGGGGAAAGTGGGGACGATAAAAGTTTGACTTTTTTCAGTTAGAACTGAGAAAAGTGGGCGTTTAACAGTGAAGATAATGTAAGCAAAAGCTTGAACAGTAATTTCTTTTTGTTCATTGACTCTCATATTTCCAAACTGAGGTCTTCACATCAGGTTTAAGGAAGCCATCGACTTGTAAATACAATGACTTCCGGAGCATATTAACAGCTCTTGAATCAAGTTTGATCAGCAGTGTGGGTGCGGCGGATACTTTAGTTCTGTAACTTGCTCGGCTGAGCCTCACTCGCACGCCTTCCCTCGCAGGAAGCTTGCCGCCTCTAAGGACGGCGAGGGTGGGAGGGGAGGCCTGGCCGGTTCGTTAGAACACCAGGCACCGCTAAGACACTCGAGGCCAACTTTCATCCACTCGGTGCCTTCAAAACAGGCTTTTCTTGGTTTGGGAGGCCGAGCAGGAAGGAAGCCTGGGGTGTGGAGAGCTAGGGTCTGGCAGCGCCTCCGGAAAACCCCATTCTCCGCGCCGGTAAAGCGACTTCCGGCGAGCCAGCCCGTCGGAGGTCCCCGCTCCACCGCCGTGCGAACGGATGCGCCGCACCGGGCGCTGCAGCCGGAAAAGACCTGGCAGCCGCCAATGACGTCATGCCCAGCTCGGCCGCCCGCGGTCGCCATGATGAAAACCCGAGAAAACGGAGCTTAACGTGGCACACCGTTAACTGACCCGCGAACTCTCCCGACGGACCCCAGTCCCTTCCAGGGGGGGTTTGAGACACTCAGGTCCTGCAGGCCGTGGGGCAACCCCACGGGCGGGCGGCGGGGCGGCGGCCTCGTGGCCACGCCCCCGGGGCGGGGACTTGGCGCGCGTCACCGGTAGGGGCGGGGCCGGAGCGAGTTTCCTCCTCTTTCCCAGCGGGCCCCGCGCCCACCTGCCCGCCCTTCGCTTCCTTTTCCGCGGCCGCATGCTGCGCGGCTGCTGATTGGCTACCGAGGACGGAAGCTCTGTTGGTGTTTCTTCAGAAGTTTCCCCCTCCTGGGCGGCGGCAGAGCTGGTAACCAAGGTAGAAAACGCTCGGGCCGAAGCTTTAGTGGCTCTTAGGGATGGCGGCAGCTGCAGCAGGACCTGCAACGTCCCAGCGGTGCGTGTTTTTCTCCACCTTTGCTGTTTGTCTTACTGTTCTTTCCTTGGTTAGTGAGCCCTGCTGAAGTCGTTGTTTTCCTGGCAGGTTTTTCCAGAGCTTCTCAGATGCTCTGATCGACGAAGACCCCCAGGCGGCGTTAGAGGTGAGTGAGCTCATTTCTGCTCCATTCGCACTGGGACTGTTGGGTTCCTACAGACCCCGCGTCTTCCCAACATTACCTTCGTGGGACCAAAGCTACGATTTTCAGTGTGTCTCAGTTCGAATATTAAGATCCCGTGATCCATTTCTTTGTCCCCTAGTGACCCTTTTGCCACAGATCTTGCCCTTCCGCTCCCCAGACTTAGGCACCCCACAGCTCCTGGTAGGGACACTTCCCTCCGATTTATTTCTTGGACTCATAGTTGCCATCTGTGGTTGGCCTGAAACGACTTATTTTAATGGCGTTTATGATCAAGGAAAAGGCGAAAATACGGCTTAACGTACCATTTTTTAGCTTGATAGTTGTGGTTGCCCTTATATGTTAAATGTGCTGTTAAATGTCCTTTAGTTGACTAAGTTTACTAAAGAACATTTTCCCTCTTGTGCCTGAAACTTTACAGATGACTGTGCTTGTCCTTCACACAGTTATTTATAAAAACGCGTTTATATACCTAGGCTGGCCTCAAACTTTGGGTCCCCTGAGTGCTGGGGATGCACCACTAAGCCCTGCCTAAGTTTTTAATATTGTATGAATTGCTTTTGGGCTATTTCAGGTGAAGTCTAGAGCAAACTATCTTTGTATGGATGTTGCTTAGGAGCACTGGCTGGACTGGAGAGGGTCGCTAGCACATATCAAGTATGGTGGCCCAGGCCCTGTAAACCCAGTAGTCAGGAGGTGGATGCATGAGGGTCAGAAATTCAAGGTCATCCTCAGCGACCTAGTGAGTTGAGGCTGACCTTGGATTTGTGAAACCCAGCCTGACACTTCAGAGAATCACGCTGGAAGAAGGAAACATTTTTATAACCTGAGCGTTAGAGAAACCACTTTTCAAGAGGCTAGCAGACTAGTAGAGCTACACTGTTGCTTGAATGTTTCAAGCTTGGTTTTGAATTGTTAGGTCCATCGAGAGATCATCAGGTCAAACAGATAGTTACATTCCCTAACAGGGGAGTAGCAAACTGGGTGGTGGTGGTGCATGCCTTTGATCCCAGCATTTGGGAGGGAGAGGCAGGAAAGAGAGGTGTCTGTGAGTTCAAGGCC